TCCCATGGAGATTGCCTTATCTCGAGAGACCTCATGCACTTGCAGCTGGGTCTGGATGGCTGTTGTGCATATATTGGCTGTCCTCTGAGGCAGAGGCAGCCATGGAAATGTCGAGCAATGGTATGGAGAAAAAATATCTGTATTATTTTAAGCTTCCCATGGGTTTGGAGAATGGAGGTTTAAATCAGAAGTCAAAGGGATCGGTTGCAGTTTTCTTGTTAAAAAAAAAATCTATACTATTTCAGTCTCTCAGAAGAGAGCAGAAGCTATTAACAGCATAGTTACTGCTGGTTAAACCTTTATTTGTCAATCACTTGCCACTTGGAGGTCAGAATTCCCATTTGTAGATAAATACACTGGTCCTAAACTCACTTTTCCCTGTCCTTTGAGTCCACCCACCTTTCTGTCTGTCTGTCCTCGTCCAGGAGCAGGCATGTGGGGTGGGCAGGACCTGCTGCAGGGCAGGACTGATGCATTCTGCCAAGGCTGTTTGCATCAGCCCAGGCTGGGCAAGTCTTGCTGGGGTTGGGTGAGGGAACATGGTTTGGAGCTGCGGACACTTGTGCTGAGATGTAGTAACGCGCTCATCTTTGCTCTTTCCTGGGCATGAAGTGGGTATGGGCAGGCAGCTATGCCTGTCCTGGTACCTCTGACTGGTGCGTTTTTAACGCTGTCTCTAGGGGAAAGAAAAAGGCTATTTCACCATGCTGATTCTGCAAGGTAAAGGCCTTGCGCTGTCTTCACCTTTTTTTGACCCGGCCTCAGTATTTCATGCTACAGTGAGTTTCCAAAGAGTCTGATGGTAGTCTGCAACCCCATCCCCTTATCCTGCATCAAACTCCACCTGCCTTTTACCTTGCAAATCCTCTCCAGCTGAGGTATCCCATAGCCTTTCCTTCCCCACCCTTCACCTACACCCTGTTTTTCTCTTGTGTGCTGGACTGCTGAGATGACTCCCTGATGCTGGAGGTAGAGAGGCTGTTTTAATTATATGGCCTGTCTTATTCAGGGAAGCGGTGGATGTTAGGATAATCATGCCATTTCAGACAGACCACTTGTTTCATTGGAGCATAACAAGCACTGACAGGGTGCAGGGAAGTGTGTGTGTGTGCACGCGTGCACACCTGGGGCAGGGAGTGCGATGGACTGAACCGGGGCATTGTCCAAATTTGCCCATCCAGTCAGCAGCTTCAGGAGGAGCTGATTCCCAGCAAGGCACTGGAGGCAGAAGCAGGAGTGGTTAGTGCTGATTTCAAAAGCATCTCCTTCAGAGCTGTCTGTGGGGCAGAGAAAAAGTTGGTTAACACCCTCGCTGTCTCCCCCCAGGTCCCCTCCGCCTGCCACATTTGCTTCTCCAGGCTTTCCCTATCACTAGCTGAAACCATTTAAAATGTCATCATCTCTCCGCTGGTCCTAAATTGGCCATCTGATGTGGTTTTAATGCTCTATTTCCTATGCCAACCAGCCTCGGAAACACTCTCCATTAGCTTGCAGGGCTGTCAGCCTCACATCTAGGGCGGGTGATGTTACCTAATGGTCAGAGCACAGGATGGGGAGTCGGGTCCCCCCGAGGCTGACTTGCTTTCTGCCCAAGGACACGTCACTTCCTTCTTTGTTCCTGCCTGCTTGTCCGTACCACGGGGCTCACCATGTCAGCCTGTTTTGCTCCCATCCAGCTGAGTTTGGGTATTGCGGCTGCTGCACCTCGACCAGGCTGGGGAAGGGCTTGACCCTTCTGTGCTTGCACTGAGCAGCGCCAGAAATACCCCCATTAGCAAAATTCTTTGCTGAAAGGTATTTCTAGCAAATTAAATTAAATTGCCTGTGTCTGCGCCCCCATGCCCCCTTTCTCTTTCTGTCTCCATCTTGGAGTCCAAAGCATCCAGGGAATCATGGATTAAGCCCTTTACAGGTACAGTTTCATCTTGGGTTACCTCACCTGCATGCAGAGCCTGCTGCCCTCACCTTGTGCCCCTCTTGCAGCTGGTGGCTCAGTGCAGACATGCCGGGGAGTCTCCCAGCCCCCCTGGTTGCCTGTTTGGGGACTGGCATGTGTGTAAGCTGTAGGGAGGAAACAAATCCCCCTGGCCAGAGCAGGCAGCAGTAGTGCTGGCGTACGAGGGTAGTGCTGCTGCCGAAGGGGATGACTCTCGCTGCGGTAGTGATGGAGGGCAGAGCCACTCGAGTGTGGCTGCCTTGCAGCACGCTCCTGACTTGGCCTGCCAGGAAGTCCTTCAAGCCCTGATGCTTTGTCATGCAGGTGTCCCCTTGCCCAGTGCACCTGAGCAAGCCCCACAGCGCCGGGGTGCCGCTCTCGCCCTGCATCCCAGTGTAGGCGATGGGATCCAGCAAGCCTCAGGAGTGCAGGGAAAGCTGGGGGGGAGCTGCTGCTTCTGCACTCCTCCTGCAAACTTTGGTAAACATGTTGCTAATGGGTTCGAGAGAAAACCCTCTGAAGAGTTATTGTGCCAAATTTGGAGACTAATTTCAGTCATTAAGGTGCGAAGCGAGGGATTTTAGTGCCGCTTTAAGTGTAAATCTCAAGGCAGCTCCAAGGATTGGAGTTGCTGATGATCCCTCCTTGATTATTATTAGTGGTTCTAATCTTTCCGGTGGAAAACGAACAGAAATGACACCCTCTTGTGTCATATCTGTTGCTGATTTCTGTGAACTCTTCTTGTCAAGCTGTGCAAAGGAGATTCCCATAGTGGCATCATTCTCAGGTGGGAGGGGAAAGAGGGCTGAGAACTGTTTAATATTGCTGTTTGTTTAATTAGATATTGGCACTGCTTTCTAACTACAGACATATAAAGCTACAACTCCCATCAGGCTAATGGCATCCTTATCTTCTTGGAGCCTTGCTTTGTCTTTACTCTGGTGGCCACTGCAGAGCAATAATGAAATGGGTGTAGCTGTAATCTTGGTCTACTGGAAGGTCTTTCCCACCACCAGAACCTTACATAGGTCTGGTAGGCTGCACATAGCTGGCAATGGTCTGTGCCTGGCATTCCTCAGTACCAGAGCAATGCAAACAGCTGGGAAAGAAATACCAGAAAAAGAGCATGTGTGGTCCTGACATGGGATCTTTTACACCATTGCAAACAATTGTGTGGCTAAGATTTTCCACATGGCTGATGTATTGGGGTTCTCTCAGTGTTTGGGTGCTGAATGGGCCTGGCTTTTAGAAAATAACCAATAATCTGCCTTTGAAAATCGTCCTGTTGCAAATGTTTCACGCTGGGCTCCCTTATGGCTGTGTTTCCTACACTGTGCATGTCCCCTGATGGTCACAACATGGAGCAAGTATGGAATTCCCTTTAGAAGTAAACATAATTGCTGATTGCACTTGGTAATGGGGAATTAGTGGATAAGTTTGGTTGATTAATGGAGTTAGGACAAAAAAGTTTGTGAAAATGAAGAAGGTAAAATCATGACCTGCTTTTTTATTTGTTTGAAGAAGTTTCCCTGTTACCAATGCTTTCATTAAATTAGCAGGGAGTTCTCTGTGTGCAAATAGTGGGAAAGCGTGTACCCACTGAAAGAACAGATTTTTTGTTCTTTTTTTCTTGAAATTGGTACAAATTGAGTTCAGAAGGGACAAACTGAAGCTGAATATCCGGAAATGTTTCCTGATGTTATGGTATAATAGAACAGAAGACCCTCTCACGTCTGAATGGAAATGTTGCTTGTGTAATTTATAGGAGAATGGGGCAAAGCACGGGAGGGTAGAGTCCTGGGGCTTGTCCTGCAGGCAGCTTGGTCATCTCTGCCTCTCACGGTGACATGATGCTGGTGCCAGAGCAGGTGTATAAAGGCGAAATCTACTTCATGCAACAGGATTGTGAATTGAAGAGAAATATATGAACAGGGGAAACTGTCAGAATGCCACGGAGATGTCATATAAGCCACTGAACTGTGAAATGTGCATTTGCCTCCTCCTCTTCCCCACAGTGTCATTCTGGATGTCATGACAGTTAAGAAAACAATAGATATGATTCTCAGCAACACCACTTTAACATGCTTTCATCATGCAGCAAGGCCTTGAAATGAGTGTACCTGTAATATCGGTCCACTTGAAAGTCTTCCCCACTGCCAGAGCTGAGTGAAGAGGCCTTAGGATAAATAAGATTGAAGCCTGGACTGTTTAATAGTCCATTTGTACAGCTGACATGAGATGCCCCAAAGGGAGGTGCCTTCCGCAGAAGTGACGGGGCCTTTCCAGACAAAGAGAATCATTAATATTGGCTGCAGAGATTTGCAGGGCTGATCACCCTTTAGTTTGATCTTGCTGGGTATAAGGCATGACTCTGTCCCTAGGCAAAAGGGCTTTCACTGGACTATCTGAACATCCACTGTCCCTATTCCTAAGCTGCTTCAGAGGACTGCTTTGGGCCTTGCGAGGTGTGCTGGCTCTCGTAGGGATGGATCTTCTTGCAGGTGTGCTGCCCCTTCCTCTGCTCTCTGCAGCTTCCTTTACCATTTCCTCGATGTTTGGGCTGGGGGGAGGCTGTCTCCACTGCTTCACCTGTAGGCCAGCGCTGTCCTTAAATGACATGTGAAATCCCCTTTGGCAAGTGAGCAAAGTGTAGGCTGTGGAGTGTGTTTACACATATAATTGCTAGGGATCCCTCTGCCCTTTGGGGTAAAGGGAAATCAAGGACCATGGGTACATGTGTGTGCATGTGACTCTTAGTCGTACTTTCAGGAATTCATTGAGAGCCAACATGGGATATCGCTTCCCTATCCCAGTCACAAAATGGGGGCAATTGCCTTGCCTTGCCTGATTGTCCCAGTTCCCAGAGTAATTGTCCTGCTTCTCCCAACCCTTTCCTCTTAGATTTTCCTTTGCTGTCCCCAGCTTCATAACACTTTGCACTTCATAACAGTTTGTACTGTGCTCCTACTGTCCCGGCGTAAGCTACAGGACGGGGGGCAGGCTCTCGTTTCGGGTTTGGTTCCCAAGTGTTAACATACTCCTCGCTCTTTTCTCTCTCCTGCAGGTACCTGATCAATGTCACCTTTGAAGGCAGGAATTTGTCGTTCAGTGAGGACGGATACCAGATGCATCCCAAGCTGGTGATCATTCTTCTGACCAAGGAGAGGAAGTGGGAGAGGGTAGGACATGTTTGGTAATTCTCAAACTGTGTCAGGGAGGAGGAGGATGGAGGAAGGCTCCAGGCGAATAGTCCCTCCCACCTTTCTGTACTTCTTATCAAGAGCTGGCAACCTCCTCCTTGCATGCTGGACCACTAGTATCCCCAATACCCAGGCTGCTGTCTTCTCCACGCAGGATGCCATTACATTCTTCCATTAGTGTGCATAAAAAATTCATCAGCTTCCCTTCTGTAACCTCTGAACATAAGTTTTCCTGCCTTTCAGAGAAGAGACCTCCTCTGTGCCATGGCTGTCAGTGGCAGAGACAGAAAACATTTCTTTCCATGGCTTGGAGGCAGTGAAGTTCTGTATGCTAAATGACTGTGATTGAGCTACAGCCACACTTAGTAATATATGCCAATGTTAACTGTGTTTGATATGTCTGGCCACTGTCATTTGCTATGGGATGGTGCATTAAGTAGGATGTGTACGTGAGATCGTATCGAGTTGTTCAAAGATCCAAATCTGCATATTTCTGAATAATTTGCATGTAACCCACAGCACCATTTTAGAAATGGCATGGATTTCTCTGTTACTGCAACACTTCGGTTCATTTCACCTCCCACATAAAAGTCAGTGGTCCAGGCTCAGAATAAGCATTCCCAAAGGGTTTGAATTGAAGTAGAGAGGGTAGTTAGAGGGCTAAGAAAATAACATATAAAAAAGTGATGGGGGTGAGAAGTCAGAGCGAAAGCAAGGAGAATTCAGCAGAGCACTCAATAGATATGAAGCGGAGCTCGATCTGGATGTGATCATGTGTATGGCTTAGAAAAATGCCCCTTTGCCTCACCAGGCAGAGAAAGTCTTCTCTCCTTGGCTGCTTGTTCCCTACATGGACTTGCAAGTGGCCTGCATGGCCAAAGCCAGGAAGAAATTCATGCGGAAATGAGAATGAAATAGGGGGCTGTCAGGAGAAGTGCATTCAGAAGAGGGCTGGAGGAACAACTTTTGAAGGAGGCAGAAAAGCCATTGCATTAGTGCCTGGCAGGCAGTAAGGTCTCTCAGTAGTTGCAGGAGTTTGGGAGGAGGGTGAAAGGCCCCAACTTGTGCCTGGTTTCCAGGAAGACCTGTCTATCTCATGGTCTTGGCACTGTGCAGACCAGATGGGAGTGTATGGTCTGGGAGAGTCAGACAAAGTCTCAGTGGGACAGGAGCATGAGGAAATGTATGGCATGGCATCAGCATGAGTGGACAACCCTTGAATGTGTTTGGAGGCAGGCTGGCTTCTCAGGAGGTGGGCAGGCAAGGCTCGGGCTGTAGAGACCTCATGTCAAGCTCTGCCCATCACACAGCTTCATTAAAGTCCACGAGGCAAAGTCCAGGAGGATTTGTTCCTAGCTGGCACCAAATTCGTTCTCACAGAGAAAAACTCAATCGTCAGAGCAGGAAAACGAGGCAGCAGCAGCATGAATCCTGCTAGGGATTATTAGCAGGGCCAGCTGTGGGGAATCTGTTGCTGGAATGCTTTGCAGGCTCTGGGGAGGCACAGCTAAACGCAGTCCTGTTTTTGTCCTGCTTCTCACATGCATTACCCTGTTACACTCTCAGTGAGGGCTTGGGGGCTTCCATTAGCGGTAAGAGGGGTTGTTCAGTCTCCGAGTGCATGTCCGTGGTCTCTCAGAACCAGACAATTAGCGGAAGGGATGCTGGTGAGCTGGAGTGTTGGGGTTAGACCTGGGACCTGCCTGAGCCTTGCTGTCTGTGGGGACTACTTGGCATCCATTAAACCAGAACAGTTCTTCATTTCGTAGGAGCTGGGGCTGGATTGAAATGAGACTATGATGAACTCTGGTATTAGTGGTATGAAAAGCCCATAGTGCTTCCTGAACACAAATGTTTTACCTTGAAGCGGGTGTCTTGCTCAGTGGGAAGACCAGATGATTATAATCAAACTCTGAGCTGTTCGAATTTTACACTGGCAGGTTCTTCCTGGAAAATGCAGAAGTTACCTCCAACATGCTCTGATCACAGACAAATACCTTTCATACCTGGAACCTCATACTCTTTTTCTTCATTTTCTCCATTCACTGGAAATGCAAACATTAAAATATAAGGGTGAAACAGAGCTCTTTGTGGCAAAGATCATCATTTTGTTCCGTGTTTGCAGAGAGTCAGGCAAAGCAGAGTGCTGGCCCTTAATAGCAGCTCCCAGGCAATGCCACAATACAAGCCATAAGTTATTCATACATTATTAGCACACAACCCCAATGCCTATGTAAGTGCATTGCTTTGCAGTGTAAAATCATCCAAATTCTCACTAATTTTTGCTAAATTAGCAAGGTGCTTTGTGCTGGCAACTTCTAAGCAATATACAAAAGAAACTGCGCAAAGCGCAGGAGAGTTTCCAAGTCAAACACTCAGGCGGTAGAAGACGAGAGATGAAAGGCTGCATGGGAAACACTGATTCAGTCCACTTGTGTGCGTTCACTATAGCTCAGTCTTTAATTACATCGCTGCATGCTTTTATCCATAATCAGACACTGTGCCTGGTAGGAACATCAAGAGGTCATTTAGTCCTTCCCTGTGCCCAAGGGAGGGATCAACTACGCTGAAATTATTCCTGACAGCTGTTTGTCTCACCTGTTCTGAGAGTCCTTAGATGCTAGAAACTCCATGAAATCCTGAGGCAATCTCTTCTACGGCTTCTTTCTTCTTACCCTGGAAAGTTTTTCTCAGGTCTAACCTAGAGTTCCCTGATTGCAGTTTAAGCCCATTACTGCTTGGCATCTCCCTAGTGGACATAGAGAATTGTTTATCCTCTTCCTCTTTTTATCTTCCCTATGTATGTTTGAAGGCTTCTATCATGTTGTCTCCCAGTTGTCTCTGCTGTAGATTAAACAAGAATTTGTTTAGTCTCTCCTGGTAGCTCATGTTTTCCAGTCTTCTGATCATTTTTATTAGTATCCTCTGGATTTAGTGACACAGTTTGCTGTTCTGTACAGCTTGGTGCAGTTGATTCTTGGAAGATGGCAAATAGATTGTGAGGAGTACATCTCATGGGGTATATATATATATAAAGAAATGTTTTAAAATAGGTGCGAAGCCTTCCATTTTCTGGAAGCAAAGGTGCAGACAGTGACTGAACTGCTTCAGGATTTCACGTCTGTGAATTTTTTTGAGATTTTGATTTTTCATCCCCATTTGGGAAGAAATATCTTCAAAATCCCACAAGTTATTTCAGAACAGGAATTCATTTTCCAGAAGAGCTACAGCTGTCCCCAGCTCTGATGATGATAAATCTCCTCCTGTGTCCTTCAGACAGACTGAAGCCTCGTAGGGCTGACAATCATGAAAGAACACGTAGAGCAACCACTTTCTGGAAAGGGGCAGTAACCTGAGCTCTTCTGCTCTTGTAGCCATGAGTAACGATTCCTCTTGTGATAAGCAAATGTGCTGCATTTCATTCACTTCTCTGTTCTCTGCTCCTTAGGGGCAGAATGCTGCATGCCTTCCCTCACTACCTTTTAATTAGCAAGTTAGTAGAGCTCTTTGCTTCACTGGCCAGGCAGCCTAGGTGTATTTTGGGTGCCTAGATGCCCCTGTTGTATTTATCATAGAGGGGCAGGTATGCAGATGGAGGTGGTGAAGGAGGTCCACCCTTATGCCCCATGAAGGGCCCTGCCTCAACGCAGCGATGAGCTGGGGCCAGAGGTCTTGCAAGGTGAGCCAGAGGCTCGGTACTACATTAGGTTTTCTGTCTGTGGGTTGTGATGTTTTGTGTGGGAAAAGTTTTCACCCAGGCTTTTTCTTTACTTCACTGGTTGCTTTTCTCCTCTGCTCTCCTATAATCCCACATATGATAAGGACTTATTTCTGGGTTCATGATCCATTCATGAGAGCTGGCAAGTGCTGCTGTCCAGCTCTTGTTCACATCCGCCTTCTCTGCTGAGGCAGGGCACAGCAGTCCTGTCCCATTAGCTCCCAGCTCCTCCTGTCTGCTGTCTTGTTTCCCCCGGCAAACCTGGGGATGAGAAAAATGTTGCTATTTCTGAGGCCCTCTTTGGGATTCTTTCTCTACTTTAGTTTCTAGTGAGTTTTGCATCACTTCTATCACTAGGTGGTTCTCAGCCTCTCCCTTTTGCTGATGCTTCTCTGCCTCTTCCCTTAGGTGTGTCACTAGGGATTCAGAGCACCTTTCCATACGGCTCATGACAGCAACCTCTTGTGCTACCCCACAGAGCCCTTTGATTCGCAGGTTCCCTGGGGCATCTCTTACCACACACGGTCCAGTAACTCCTGCTCCTGGCTGGATGAGCAAAGCCCCAGGTGATGGGTTTGGTCAGGGTGCCACTACAAGCCATCTTCAAGGAGGACAGATGGGAAACCTATGCTGAAAGATTCGTTCTCCTTGCTGCATGTGCTAATCCTCTGCTCCTATCAACCCTCACCCCCCTCAGCAGATAAGATGTTTGCCTGTTGCTGCTCCTATAATTATCAGTGTTTGACTTTTGAACTCCTGAAAATCAATTAGCAGCATCTGTTCTGTTTCCTCTAGCCATCGGTGTGGCCATGATTACAAATTCACGAACAGGCTGCTCTTAGCCTGTTCCCCTACACCACTGCACACATTAGTGCTCCCTGGGAATGGGGCCATTTGCTGTGACATGCTGTCAGCTGCCTCAGTGACTGTAGACTTCCAGTACTTCCTAATGCTGCAATAGGGTGCAAAATGGTCCTACTACTTGCCGCTGCATAGGCTTTCCAGAGATGTGTTCAGCCTGGATCATAGTCCACATAAAGTGACTTCGCAAACTTGTGTGACCCTCTCCCCTGCTTGGGACAGAGCAGTGTTATGCCCATCCATGCTTGGGAAGGGTTCCTTCGGGATGTGGGATGGAGCTACAGAAAGGAAAGAAGGATTTAGAAAAGAAAAATGGAAAAACAAGGTTTGTTTTATCTAAAAAAAAGGAAGGGGAACAAGATAAGTCTTCGGACATTTAAATAATTGTTGAAAAAAGGAC